CCTCCCCACACACACACACAGACACACACACACACACACACTCACCACCCCAACCCCACCCTCGTCACCCCCCAGGACGTGACCAAGTACGCGGTGTACCAGGAGGCGGTGCGGCGCGCACTGCTGGACAGGGTGCCGCAGGAGGAGGCCGCCACCAAGGTCACCACGCTCATGGTGGTCGGGGCAGGTGAGGGGAGGGGCGCTGGACACGCCTTGCGCTCACCAGGGCGTGTTGAGCGGCTGCTTGTCCCGACCTCCTGCAGCCCTGTCATACGGGCCTGGTGTGCTGCACGCACCGCATGCTGTGCGCCCTTGTTGGTCTCATTGCCGTTGTCGCACCCAAGAGGTGGAGCGCGGCATGCATCCGTTTTGCAGCTCGGCCCCACGCACGTCACTTACACCCGCTGCGCGCACCGCTCCGCATCCACCCACGTTGCGCAGGCCGCGGTCCCCTGGTGCGCGCGTCGATCCGCGCGGCGTCGCAGGCGGGGCGCCTGCTGCGCGTGTATGCTGTCGAGAAGAACCCGGCCGCTGTTGTCCACATCCAGGCCATGGTGGAGGCGGAGGGCTGGGCCGACACGGTGCGAGCGGGGTTGAGGGTTGGGCTGCAGGCAGGGCAAGGCGGGGAACTGCTGGAGGCTAGGGCGTGCAGGTCAAGTGAGCGGCAGCAGTGTAGCTGCTGGTGAGGTTCCAGGGTCCATCCTGCCTGCAAGACCAGTGCCCCTCACATCGGGTGCGGAGCACCCGCCCCAGCTCTGCCCACCCACTTTCGACCGCCCTCTGACACCCATCCACACCTCTCAACCCCGCACCGCTCGCAGGTGACCATCGTGAAGGCCGACATGCGCACGTGGTCAGCCCCCCACCAGGCTGACATCCTTGTCAGCGAGCTGCTGGGGAGCTTCGGGGACAACGAGCTCAGCCCAGAGTGCCTGGACGGCGCGCAGCGCTTCCTGGCCCCGGGGGGTGTCAGCATCCCGCGAGCCTACACCTCGTTCCTCGCACCCATCACGACGGCCAAGCTGTGAGCCGCCGGCTGCCGCGCCACCTGCGGGCGGGGGGGGCGGGGGTCTTGCGTCGCAAGGGCATCGCGAGGCAGGGGCCAGGTTGCGGCACTGAGCCAACCTTCCGTGCGCCATGCACCTTGCCAGGCGCGCCGTGGTGCACACGCAATCCTCTTTTAACATTCTGCGTTCGTTCCCTGCGAACAAAGAGCGCGCTCGCACACCCGCATACCCCGCCCCCGCCGCAGCTTTGACCTGTGCCGGGCCTACAAGGACCTGGAGCACTTTGAGACACCCTACGTCGTCAAGCTGCACAGGTCGGGCAGCGCAGCGCAGCGGACGCAGACTGCATGTCACACATGCACAGCGTCAGAGCAGCAGCGTGGGTGCAGGTGCCACTAGCAGCAGCTGTCGTTTGGAGCAAGGCCCAGCACGTGTGCTCTATCGCCCCAACAATTTACGCCTGTGCGTTACTTAGCAACCTGCATATTGCATGCCACCCCGTTCCTACTCTCCAACCCAACCCCCCAGGTACCACCAGCTGTCCCCGCCTCAGCCCGTGTTCACATTTGAGCACCCCAACCACGCCGTCCCCATCGACAACAGCCGCGCCGCGACCCTCACCTTCCCGCGGCGGCCTGAGGACGGCAGCGGCGAGCTGCACGGCTTTGGTGGCTACTTTGAGGCTGAGCTGTACCCAGGGGTCACCCTCAGCACACACCCGCCCACCCACACGCCCAACATGTTCAGCTGGTTCCCGATATTCTTTCCCCTGCGCGAGCCGCTGCTGCTGGCGCCAGGCGAGCCGGTGGTGGCGCACATGTGGCGCGTGGTTGGGGCTCACAAGGTTTGGTACGAGTGGGCGGTGACGGGCCCGCGCGCGACGGCGGTGCACAACGCAGCCGGACGCAGCTACTGGGTGGGGCTGTGAGGCTTTGCTGCCTCGCCACGGCCTGGCCTGGGTCTCGACGTGCGGCCCGGCAGCCTGTTGCTGTCAGCACTCGCGCCACATTGCTGTGCCATGAGGGCTATCAGTCCGGCCCGGCGGCCCAACTTGTAACAGGCCAGATGGTTGTGTCATGTTTGTGCGGCGCGGGGCAGCCGGCAAGTGTACACCTCAATCTTGGATCGTGGCAACATATGGCGAAACAGGTGTACTGGTGATTTCAAATGGTGGTGCTCGTGCAGCAACCTCAAATCTCAGATGCCAGCAGGTTTAGGAGCTATGTTATTGGGCAGGGAGTTAGCGACGCATGCCGACAAAATGCACCCCTCTCAACAGGTTAACCTTGGTTGACCAACGCCTCGGGCGTTGTGGCATGGACAAGTAGTGCGCCGCCCCATACAATGCAAAACATGTGTAACCGCACACCTCCCGAGGGCCCTGGGCTGCAAAATCAATTACATCGCTGGCCACCGGCCTACCTCGGATGTCGCCAGCGCTGAGCAGCAGATGGCTGGGCAGCAAGCAGCGCGTCTGTGTAGCTTGTCAAGTAAATGTTTATGATTTTGTTTTGGTAACGGGTCCATGCAACAAGGCTCTGCCGAGGGGCTGGCAGCTTCCAAGAAGGCAGACTGCAAGGCAGCTGGTAGCCGGTTTGCCCTTGTTACGGGCTCTAGCCTTATAAGCCTATTGTCAGAGCCGCGCCTTCCTTCGCACACCTTCTCTCGTGGCTCCCGCGCGAAAGACTTTTCAGATCACGCCTTGCCACGCTTGCCTCCTGCGCCCGGTAGCGCTCCAGTCGCCATGAGCAAGGTATGAAACTTCGATCAGCAGCCTGTCCACGTCCTGTGCCCTCCGAGCCCTCGCGCTGGGCTCTCAAGAGCGGGATGCCATGCAATCCTCAAGCCACTCGCGACCGCAACTACAGGTCAAGCTCACGAGCTCTGATGCTCAGATGTTTGAAGTGGACGAGGAGGTGGCGAACGAAAGCGTCACGATCAAGAACATGATTGAGGGCGAGTGTTTTACTCTAGCTAGAGGCAGCCGAGTGACCAAATAAGTTATTGATCGCTAGAGGTTACGGGCCGCGCACAACGCAGCGGCGGTGCGATCGATGCCGGCGCAGCGCACGCAGGCGGCCGTGCGGCGCCGCGCTTCCGGTGACGACATGCTGCGTGGCGTCGTCGGCGCAGGCGGGCCTGCATGCGTGTTGCATTATTGATCTCAGCAGCACATATCGAGGGCATTTACGGTATTGTGCTAGCCAGCATGCCAGGCGCCCGTCTGCTGCGCCCCGCCCGCCCATGCCGAAGCCCGCCTCCCTTGATCGCCTTCTTCCTCGGCACACTCATCAATATATATTCGCACCTGCACCACTTCTAGCCCGGCCATGATTCCGATCCGTTCAAGCGCTGATTCACAAGTCTTTCTTGAATTTTGCACACCGCTTGCTTTCGCTCACACCAACGCCCGCCTCCCACCCTCACACATCCCCAGACACCGGCACGGACGAGGTCATCCCCCTGCCCAACGTCAACGGCAAGATCCTGGCCAAGGTGATCGAGTACAGCCGCTATCACGTGGAGGCGGCCAAGAAAGGCGCCGACGACAAGCCCGCCAAGAGCGAGGACGACGTGAAGCAGTGGGACACAGAGTTTGTCAAAGTGGACCAGGCAACACTGTTCGACCTCATCCTGGTGGGCGTGCTGCGCGCACGCGTGTGCATGCGCGTGCACGCATGCTTGCGCATGTTTTATTTGTCAGCTCAGGTGGTTGACGCGGTTTGTGCTTTTTGTCGGCAAGCACCTGAGGCCCAGTCGGGCTCAACAACACGAGGTGTAGGGGTGTCCGGATAAGCGAAGGCAACATGCTGAAAAACAGCAGCAGCAGCTGTAGCAGCGGCAGCAGCAGCAGCGGCCGCACCATTTGGTGCTGGCGGCTGATTACACAATGCACGGTGTGATGGCACACCTGCGAACTCTAGCGGTGGAGTTGATGCACATGCACTTGGACCTGCAGCAACTCGACAGTAGGCAGTATCGGCACTGCATGTGCAGGCAGTACGGCGATGCTGGCAGGTGTTGCGTTGTCTCGCCTACCGCAAAGCACTGAAATGCATGCACGCACACGTGTGGACGCACACGTGTGCACGCACAAAAGTGCACATGCGTTCCTCCCCCCCCCCCAAACACACTCACACTGACGTGCATGTCTGCATGCGTGCACTTTCGACAAAACGAGACACTTCTGCTGCAGCACATCGTGCTCCCGGATTTTTGAGTTTACTGATCTGGCAACAAGGCCTGCCTCTCCCTGGCAATTTGATCACAAGCTGTCTGATGCCTTGTCCGCCCTTCCCTATCCTTCACCACCTCTCCTCGCCCCGTGGCTCACCCCCCTTCCTCACCCCTCCCCCCCCCAGGCGGCCAACTACCTGAACATCAAGGGCCTGCTTGACCTCACTTGCCAGACCGTGGCCAACATGATCAAGGGTAAGGGGGGGTCCGGGAGGATGCGGGGCATGGCTGGGGGTAGCTCATCGCATGTCGTTGCTGGCCGGCAGGACGCGAGGCCGCTGGCACTGGCTCTGCTAATGCTTTTGCGGCTGGTGTCTTGCGTCCGGTGAGCATGTATTTGTCACCCCCACCTTCCAGGCAAGACCCCGGAGGAGATCCGCAAGACGTTCAACATCAAGGTGTGGAGGGTTTGTGAGGGGCGCCGGGAGGCCACCTCACCACTCCGCAGCAGCGCGCAAGAGCATACACGCAGTGCAGTGTGCAGTGCTGCGAAGCCTTTGTCCCGGGGTGCAGCTCAGCATCTGATTTCTGCTGCTTTGCACGCATCCTGGCCCGCTCACGCCTCACAAAAACCGGTGTTGATTGGTGCCGCAGAACGACTTCACGCCTGAGGAGGAGGAGGAGGTGCGGCGAGAGAACCAGTGGGCTTTTGACTAAGCTCGCAGGCCTTTCAATCTGTTGCGCCCAAGCGCAACAATCAGCAGCAGCAGCAGCAGCAGCGATTGCAAGTGTCCCGTCCATTGTTGCTGGGCGCGTGCGGGGCAGTTGTGTGTGAGTGCCCGCGCGCGACATTCGCAAATCCAGGCGCAGCCCCTGGCCTCGCCGGTGGCCTGATGCCGACTGGCTCGTGGGCGGCCGTGTTTCATACGTCACCACGTGTGTTGCAACGTGAAGGGGTGTGCGCGCATTGGCTTGTGTTCGTCAGCTCTCGTCTTTGCTTTTCCCTCGCCTTGCCTTGCCTGCGGGTGATGTGCAGCGTGATGACTTTATTTTCTTGCTGGCAGTGTGGTAGCAAATCTGACAGTAACGCTCTTTGCATACATCCGAACGCTCGTCCAAAGGCATTCACAATCAGCAGTGACATCACCGGTATTAACGTCTACGCAACGGACACTGTGGTGGATGGGTCAGACTGGGTCCAAGCCAGCAGCTCAGCGCGTCGTTGATCACACCCTGGTTACCACCGATCAATCACTTCGATTTGAGGGTTCGCGAGCTGCAACGATCTCGCTCAGCGGGCGCTGCGCTCTATGTACCACTGCATTCTCTTTGTGATGATGTCACAAATATAATTCGCATTCCGCACAAGTCGCGCCCTTGCGCCCCGCTGGAGCACTACCGTAGCGGCAGCGTGTGCTGCTCGCACCCAGTGGGGGTGTCGCATCGCCTTATGCCACAGTGCTTCACGAGCACTGTCAGCATGCACGCCTGGTGCAGATGTTGATGCAGAGGCCTGAACTAGTTGAGTTCTCCACATCCAAGGTCCCCAGCGCAACACATAGACCGGCCAGCAGCCAGTTTGCACAAGACACGTGTACAGTCTGGCCCTGCCAGCCGGGCGTTGTGCACTTACCACCAGATGGAGACCCTCCGCCGCTGCGCCGGCGCCCTCGCCTGGCTGCTGGGCTGCGGGCCCACCCACTCCGAGGCGTACCTGGCGGCCGAGGCCTGCTTCCTGCCGGATGAGCTGGCGGCGGTAAGGCAGCAGTACCACGCGCGCGTGCTGGACAACTACTCTCATGGACTGGACCAGCAGCACTTTCTGGTGGGGCCCCCCGCAAGGGAGGAAAGGGAGGGGTGGGATGATTAGAGTAGGCGCACTGGTGCACGGATATGGTCGCGGGTCGGCCCGGGGTCACTCAGCGCTCAGGAGCAACTTGACAGCGGGACAGCTGCGCACGTGTGGGACACCACCGCTTTGGTAATGCCCGCGTTCGCCACGGCAGCAATGGTGCGGGGCGGTGCACGGGGGTGGACCAAGGGCCTCAACCGGCTCTGCTTGGTCCCAAGGGCGGTGCTGCGGTAAGCCGTGCGCCTACGCCCGCTGCCCCACGCCCCCAGGAGTGGTGCGGCCTGGCGGGCGCCCCGCCCGTGCTGGCCGACGGCCTCTTTGCAGCCGTGCAGCGCTGCAGCGACGACTGCCGCGATGATGCCGACGGCGGCGGCGAGGGCGGCGCGCAGGAGGAGGCCGCGGCACTGACCGGCGGCGGTGGCGGCGGAAGGTACAGCGGCGGCAGTCCCGACTTGGAGGGCCGCGGCGGGGGCATCGGCAGCGGCGGGGGGAGCAGGGGCCGCGCGTCTGTTGTGTCTCTGGAGGACGTTGTGGTCGCCAAGGCGCAGTGCGAGAGGATGGACGACGTGGCCGCTGCCGGGTTTGCGTTTGCGGTGCTGGACCCTGGCGGCAGCGGCTTCGTGGGCAGGTGCGTCCACCCTTGTGGGTGCAGTTTGACCAGCACTGCAATCTGACGCATAGAGCAGTAAGCAGGGACATTGCTGGTGGGCGAGTTTGGTCGCTACAAGTGGCAACCCCAATCATATGCCAGCACCCATCCCCCTACTTTTTCATGGTGCGTCCCAGGGACCGCCTGGCTGCCGTGATTGAGGCGCTGCTGGCGCTGTCCCTGCCGCCCAGCACACCGGCGGCTGCCCCGGCTGCCAGCGCACAGGCCATCGCGGCCGGGTGAGGCCCCGTGACCCACCGCTGCGACGGCCCCACCGCGAAACCGCCTCGCGCACAGCCCCACCTTATAGCAGGGTTCATTGGTATGCAAATCCATCGTGTCATCCAGTGGGGCTGATGGCAGCGGAGCTATGGCTAAGTCTTGTGTGAAGCTGTCATTGATCTGCAAAGCAACCCAGCAACTAGCAGAGCTGTCCAATGCTGCGCAGCGCGCTCGCGGCCCACCGTGCGGCATCACATGATCACAACCCGTCCCACCGCTCGTGACAGGGCGCTTGCGATGGCGGCGTCCGCCTCGTCAGCGGCACCACCTGGGTGTCTCGACCTGGAGGGCTTCCAAAAGTGGTCGGCCAGGGTGCCCGCACCCAAGGCCCTGCTGACCGGCCTGCTGGCAAACATTGGCGCCCCTGGCAGCGACCCCCACCAGCACACGGGGCCTGGCGAAGCTGCGACGGGCGCGGCTGCGGTGGTCGCGCCAGGACATACACCCTCCTCGCCGCATCCGTCCGCGGCCCATGTTGCCGCTTCCGCGCCGCAGGGCGGGCCGCCCCTCAAGCTTGGCCTGCCTGCGCTGGTCACGGGCGCGCCGCAGCCCGCGCCGCCGCGCGACGGCCTGCTGCAGCCGGAGTGGGTGTGGCTGCTCGCGCCGGGCCTGGCGCCCGCGCTGCGGCAGGAGTGGCGGCTGCTGTTCTCCTCGGACCGCCACGGGGCGTCATTCAACACCTTCCTGGCCAGGCTGGGGGAGGCGGCGCCGACGCTGGTGCTGGTCAGGGACCACGGGGGCGCGCTGTTTGGCGGGGTCGCGCATGCGCCCTGGCGCAGGAGCGGTACATTCTTTGGTGCGCGGGGCCTCCCAGGGTGGCGCCGCACGCAAGAGGGTCCAAGGACGGGGTCCAAAACCGGCGCTGAGTTGGGGGCCCGGTTCATAGGGGTGGCTGGACAAGAAATGCAAGCCCTTCTACAAACACGTATGCGGCCATGCTGTCAGTAACAGATACTGCCCCTCCCTATACTCTATACTTTGGGATCCTGCTCCGCATGCGACGCCCACCCCGCCCCCTCAATTTGAACCCGTATTGACCAAGGTGACTACGCCAACAAGCTGGTCAGCCTGCTGCCCGCTGCGTGCGTGTACCCCGCATCCGGCATCAACGCCAACCTGCAGGTGCGCACAGGGCACGGTTGCGTCCGCCGAGCACCATGCTGCGAACTCACAGCGGTGCGCCAGGCACTGCTCTTCAAAGGGCCCCGTTCTCCTCCCAGCAAAACTCCAGTTTTAGTCATGGGGTGGCAACCACATGCGCACTGTCGCCCCGCCATCCACTGGTATGCACCACGAGAGGAGGCTAGGCTTGGCAAGACAACCCTCTCATCGTGCCGCCACCATTCTCCGTATTCCCGCCTCAATCACCCCTAGTGGAGTGGATCACACTTTGAGCAGCTGCCCAATGGCATCGGCTTTGGCGGGCAGCAGGGAAATTTCGGGCTGTGGATCGATGCATCGTTCGACACGGGCCACAGCCGACCAAACGCCACGTACGCCAGGTGCGCTTGCAAGATGGTCACGAAGCTGACGGTGGCATGTGGTTGGTGTGGTGATAAAGTTTTGTTGCGCAACTTACCCCAGACATCACCGCCTCTGTTTGGGCGGATGTTTGCGGGCTGGTTAGCACAACACAAGTGGTGATCGCACAGTCTTCCTTTTAACATGACGCGCTGCAGTGCACTTCGTCAGCCCTCCTTGCAGCCCCGCCGTCCACGAACCTTGCTTGCCGCACTCTGGTTTACTGTTTTACCCCCAGCCCCAGCTTGTCTGTGGAGCAGAATTTCCACCTGGATGCGGTGGAGGCCTGGCTGCTGCAGCCGCCAGAGGAGGACGAGGAGGAGGAGCGGCGGCGCAAGGCGGGCGCAAAGGGCCGCGGCGTGCTCAACCAGGTGCGGGCGCGCGCTGCTGGGCTGTGTGGGCTCGTGGTGTGAGGATTGGTGGTTGCAGCGACCCAAGATGGCAGTGGCGTCGCAGGTCTCACGACTTGGGCGTGTGAGAGCCAGGCGGGCACCCTAATTGCGCATGGACACCAATGCTTTCCCTGGCATCCAACCTTGCACCCCCACCTGTACTCCACTCCTCCGCCCGGCCCCCGCCCAGCCCCGGCGTCCGGGCCCTCACCCCATCGCACACATATACCCCCGCACCGTAGTCCCAGGAGGACCAGCGGCTGCTGGAGCTGGCGGGTGTCGCCAAGAACTACCGTGGCGCCATCCCCGACGAGCCGCTGGAGGAGGGCTAGCTGGGCTATGTTGCTGTTGAGTACGGGTCTGCACTGATGCGGCACAGGCGTGGCGGGAGCGGGCTGCTCTCTATCTCGGTTTTGACACCGCCAGCTACCTGTGCTGGTGGAGCCCAACTAGCCCCAGCTGTCCACAGTGCAACAACGTAAACTGTTTGAAACGGGAAAAGACATACAGCATATTTACAATTTCATTGCGTGGCGCATTTGCGCATTCTTGCAAGTGACTGGCGTTGAAGCGACGTGTTTCTGACCTGCACCGGAAAGCTGCGGCGTTGGCCAGCTGGTGGCGGTGCAAAGCACGCAACGCCGTGATGGCGTACATGTTGCCGGGCGTCCTGGGCGCAGGACCGCCCACACCCCACCCCATCCCCCGCCCTGCCAGTGGCATGGCGACGGTGCTGCCAAAGTGAGTGTGCTAGCTAATTGAGCCGTGGGGCGGCCGCTGCCCGTGCAAACGCGATGCGATAAGGACACCAGCGCTTTCCATACGCCCCCTCAGCCGTAGTTAAGCCGGAACATATCTGCAGGCAGAGGGAAGGGAGAGGGGCCGCCGCAACGGCACATGTGGGGTTAGGGTGCAGCCGGGGATGGGGCCAAGGACGGGGTGCCCGGCAGCACTGTCGCCCGAGTTGCTCTAGACCCAGGGCATCTTGGCCTGGTGGCCGGCGCGCTGCCTTCCGCTGTTTGGAACAAGCGGGATCCCTCCAGTGCTCCAGGGCCCGGGCCAATCGCCGGGCTCTCGTGGCGGCCCCTGTCTCAACTGACCCCGCCTGCGCACCGTTGGTGACGACAAAGCTGGAGCCGACAGGCATCAGGTGGAACACCTGGCTGAACTTGAGCGCATTGGACTCCCCCTCCGTCTGTGAGCGTGCGTGATAAGAAATAGCGAAGCACCCGGGGTCGGCTGCGAAGTGCCACCTGCTGCCGCGGCGCCACAAGGGTGACTCAGCGCTCGAGCAGCCCCCGCGGGCTGCTGCTTCACCGCGTCGTTGCGCACTGCTGCATGCCTGCACACGGCCCAAAGCATGCAGCTCAACTTCATGCCGCTGCGCCAACCCAACGCCTGTACAAGCTGTGCGCCGTGACGCCTTGCATGAGCCCGTGCGCCCGACACCCACCTGCACTTGCCCGGTGACGAACACGATGATGCCCCCCGAGATGCTGGGCTGGAAGTCCGTGGAGATCGTGGCAACCTTGGCCTGGTTGAAGGGCAGTGACGTCAGCTTGGCCACGATGGCCGCGGGGCCCTGGCACTTGGCGCCCTCAAACGTGAACAAGGACTGGTCCTGGTACAGGCTGGCCAGCGCGGCACGGTTGCTGCCAAACAGGCCATAGTAGTACTCCAGGAAAGCCTAGGGCGATCGGAAAGCAGGCAGGGGGGTGGTTTGCGGCTCTGCGCCAATGCGGATTCGATCGATGCACGGAGCGCATGGTGCACTGCACGACGTCAACTCCGCGGCGCCTTTTGATTGCCCCGATCCACACAGCGGGAAGGTGCACCCCTTCAAGCATTCAACGCCGCCCTCAGCAGTCACAGGCGTCATCATCAGGCAAGCAGGGCCGCCAGTGAGGCCTCATGCGGCAGGGCCATGCCCGCACACACCTTCCCGACTTGCTCCGGATCCGCCGACATGCTGGCCTGCGGTTGGGCTTCACCCTTTTGTAATCACTACGTTACGCGGCCGTCCGGTCGCGTCCGTGCCCGCCACTGCAGATCACTTCCCTTAGAGATCAAGGGCGCGAGCTTCTATGGCGCGACGGTGCAATTCAGGCTTAAAGCGATTCAAATTTGTGATTAAACAGACCCATCTTCGGGTAGCGTACGGTATCCGGCGGTCGCTCCAGTGTCGTTCATCGTGTCACTCGGCTCAAGAAGTGCAAGGCAGCAAGACATATTTTAGGTTGATCACTTCAGGAGGCAGCTCTTCAAATCAAATCATCAGCAGCCTGCACTGCTAGATCCGCGCGCCGGGGCCCGGCGCAACGTGGTGCGACAGCGCCGCTGAACAGCGCACGTCGAGCGGGGGCGAGCGAGGGAAGAGAAACGCCTCCGTTTAGATGCGTATCAGCGCTCGCCGACTGCTCGTGGCGGGTTGGTGGCCTGCCGCCAGCTCCCGCACGATGCACCGTACCGCAGCAGGGGCGACGCCCGGCGATGGCGCCCAACCCCCGGGGCCCAAGGTCGCGGCCCACGTTGTCGCAAGATGGGCTGAGACGCCCACCGTCACAGGGCTGCGCCTACGGGTGCGCAGCAGTGGTCGTGACATGTGCCTGCTCGGCGAGCTGTCGTGTGCGGTTACGGGCCCCTCCCTCCTGTGAAACCTTGCTGGCTGCAACCCCAACACTTGAGCGCCCCGCACCCCCAGGTCGACCCAGCCCTGTTCAGCTTCAAGGCCGGCCAGTGGGTCGACTTCTGGGTTCCCGGGCTGAAGCAGGTCGGGGGTTTCTCAATAGTCAGCACGCCCGCGCAGCTGGCAGGGGACGGCACGTTTGACCTGGGGGTCAAGGCCACAAAGCACCCGGTGGCGGAGTGGATCTGCACAAAGGCGGCCGCCGGGGCCCCGGTGGGTGAGGGGCCTGGAGGGCGACATGGATGCGCGCCGGGCGCACGGGCTGGCAGCAGCATCGCGCATTGTCGCTCCACACTGATGCAAAAGTAATGGCTGCAGCTACATCATAGGAACACGCAGCTTCCGTCTTGGGTTGCTCTTGCGGTGTTCCACTGCAATCCCAAACCATCCCTGTCACTTTGTCTCTTGGGGCCCCACGCGATTCACGATGTCAGCCCACGTCCCTGTCAAAGGGGGACGTCAACCGATCTGGGACCCCAACCCACTAGAATTCCCACCTTCCCTCTCCGCCCCGGCCCGCCCGCCCCGCCGCCCCGACAGGTCAGCGTGCGCGCGGGCGGTACGTTCACCCTGGCGCCTGCCAGCCTGCAGCCGGGCCGACCCTCCCTGTTTGTCGCCGGCGGCATCGGCGTCACGCCGCTCGTCTCAATGCTCGCGGAGCTGACTCAGCACTGGCGGGCGCAGCAGCTGACGAGGCCCGAGGGTGCGGCACCCCTTGGGCCCCGGGCGGTCCTCATCTATTCATCCCGCGCGGCACACGAGTTCGCCCTGCTGCCACGGCTGCTGGACCTGCGGGACGAGGCGGGCGGGCTGCTGCAGATACGCCTGCATACAAGCGACTACTCCCCACCTGCGACGCCGGGCAGCGGAGGCAGCGGCGGCATGGGTGCAGAGGTTTCAGGGGTGGAAAGCTCCGCCGCCGAGGAGGAGGAGGAGGAGGAGGAGGCAAGCCGCGGTCCCCCGCCTGTTCTGCTGCAGAAGGGGGTGCGATCGCTGATGCGGCGGCGGGTGACGGAGCGCGACCTGCGGGCAGCAGTGGGGGAGCTGAGGGAGGCAGCGTTGGCAGGGGGCAGCAGCGGCGGCAAGGTTGTGTGTTATGTGTGCGGGCCGCCGGCGCTGTCAGACCAGGTGGTCGCGCAGCTGGAGGCAGATGAGGAGGGCGTGGAGGAGGTGGTGATGGAGCGGTGGTGGTGACCGCCACAACCGTTTTGGCCGCGGCCCGTGGCAGCTATGCCAACGGGTGGTGCTCGATTCGGATTTTTATCAGAGCTGCCTGAACAAGGCGGAAACCTCATGCACGATGTTTTGTATTTGCTTTTGTAATCACTGATTCCAGCCCGCCAGGCTTGACTGTAACCTACTGTACGGTGTGACACAGGCTGCTTGAATGCATACTAGCAGGGACCTTTTGAGCATGCGGACTCACTTTGCATAGGCATGCAGGCCATCTTGTCTCCCATGCGGTGCGGCGAATGACCTGCAAGGAGCGCAGAATCGATCAGTCATGCGGATTGCTGTGGCGGTGACTGCGACGTCGGTTGTCTCTGAGCCAATGACTTGGCATGCGCGATGTAGAGCGCTGCGGCCGAACGCTGCAGCAAGCACTCTCGACTGTGAGCGGAGCGCAGACAGCAGTGACCTTGTCGGGCCAAGGTGCACCTAGCAATCTCACATGTACTGGACTGCACCAGCCCCCCCACCACCAGGCTGGTTGCGACACGCCGGACTTTCATCCCAGCAGTTTTTGACTCGCTGCGCCGCGAGGGCCATTAGTGCTTTCTGGCCCACCCGGGCCTCCACACATCCCTGCACAATGCCGCCGGCTGCGATGGCTGCGGCTGCACCCTCGAGGCATACCTTGCCTGCCTGGGGGGCTTTGGTGCCTGCTACCTGACTCCAGCAAGGCGTGCTGCGCAGGCACTGTGCCGCCTCACAAGCGCAGCGATTTCCCTGCAGCAGAATTTGTTGGGCATCGCACAATCTTGGTCACATCACACAATGTCAGTAGCCAAGCCACTTTGGTAACATTTCAGCATGGAATGCTGGCTCGGGCACCCGCCGCGCCTGGCGCCTCGTGTCATTGTGCCTGACAGCATGCCATCGCCCTGTTTGCGGATACCGCAAGAGCTCCATTGTGGATGCACACTGACACTTCCCAGCGCCAAGGTAGCAAGTTGCGCGTAGAGTTGGTTGTGCGCCACGTTTGGGGCGACCGCTCACATCGTCTGCCGCACAGCTTCAGTGGCTGCAGTGCGCGGGCCACGTCCAGCAGCAGCCGAAGCAGCAGCAGCTGATTACCGTATGATGATGATGAGGGATGGGGCCCACTCCTGTGCGGCTCCTGATTGTAATCAGCGGCCATCAACACTTATGCTGCCCTGCCAACAAAGCTGCATGAATCAACAACCATGACCTGGCGCGGTTTGTGTAGCTGTCCTACTAGGACTCCAAGTCCTAGCTTTGTAGGCTTTGTCTGCTCGAGGGATGCGGGCTGGGGCTCGCAGCCGACCGCGTCCTTGTCCTGCCTCCACCACACCCGTGATGGTGAGGTTTTTGTGGTTGATGACAGAGTTTATCATTGAATTCATGTTGTAGTTTTTCTAACGGAATAAGGCACTCATGGTAGGCCCATCTGGGCGACTGCTAAGGTTGGTGACTCGCCGTACAGTCAGGTTTGGTGTGCTTTGCATGCTGCGCTCTTGCATCATGCAGGCGTGTTCTGTCCATAGAGACGCAGCAACGCGTATCTAAGACAAGCTTAGTTAGAAACATCTGGAAGTACACATACTACTGTCATTGTTCGATCCAATCCCGCCAATTACAGGGTCCCTCACGACGCGATTTCTCAAATACAGCCGCGATCGATTATGCAGCTGCGAATACAAGTCCATAGAATAAATCAGCCCTGACCTGCGCCGTTGGTGGTGGCCGCAGCGCTGCGGTTTGGAGGCGCAGCCTGCGCCCAAGGATTGCTGCCGGCGTCTGTAGGTGGGCGGGCCCCACCAGCAGGAGTCACAGATGCCTCGGACGCCGCAGAGAGGTCACAAAAGACCCAAAACGATGCGCCAGCCCTCAACGTGTGTGTCAAGACGCCACCATCGGATCGTGCTACTGGCTCTAGCGCGCATCACGCCGTCTGCACCGCCCTCCCGACATCAAGGTCCTCCCTTCCACACTGGCCCACTCTCGCCCACCTGGTGGTTCTGCAGCCCCATGCCACCCTCCGCGCCGCGTGGCATGCCGCGGCGCGCGAAATCTGTGGCGTTTGATGACGATGTCCCTGACTACGATGGCCGGGCCTTTGACGAGCAGCAGGAGGCGGCGCTCAAAATGATCATGCACGAGCTTCTTTTGCGCGGAGACAGTTGCGCCCCGCGCCTCAGCAAGCCAGCCGGGTGCCATCGTGATGCAGGCCGCACGGGTGGGTTCCATGCCCTGCGCCCTGACGGTGCCGCTGCGCCGCCAGAATTGCAGCAGCTTGTGTCTCTCGGGCTGCAGCCGCTGCTGGATAGGATCATGGCGAGGGCCGGGGGCGGAGGCGGCAGCATTTCGGAGCAGCGCCGGCAGGCGCAAGGGCTGTGTCCAGGCAGTGAGCAGCAGCAGCAGCAGCAGCAGCAGCAGCAGCAGCAGCAGCAGCAGCAGCAGCAGCGGCGGCAGAGGCGCTGCGGCAGAGACGTGGACGACCAGGACAGCGGCGATGCTGTGGCTCACCCTATACCTGGGCTGCTGGGGCGGCTTTTGTCACACCTTGCAACATGCGTGCTAGCCGACGTTGCGGTCGGCCTGCTCTGCCCCGGGTGAGCAACTGCCTGCAACCTCTGAGGGATCAGGAGCCATGGTCATCTGTTGCATGCAGAGGTGGTGTGTGCATGTGCATGGGCTACCCCCATCGACATCAGGCGCTCACTTTGCGCTGTGACCCCCACCTTCAACCTGCAGACAGCCGCCGCCCCCCAACACTCCGGAGCATGCGTCCGCACTGAATGTGAGTATGGATCAGGCAGTGCATGCATGCCAACAGCAACGTCGAATAATCACATAAGCGGCACGGCCATAGTTGCAGCCCATGGAGGCAATGGGAGTGAGTGCTGAGTTGGGCTGCGCTACAGCGGCGTGCCTTGCGTGCTGTGTCCCTCTGCATGAGCAGCTCGCGCGCCAAGCAACATGCATCTGACTGAGTTGCGCTTATCATGCTGCACGCAGCCTCCTTGACGCCTGATAAATCGCCCGCGCTCTTGTGCCTGCACGTGCGCCAGGCCCTCCTGTGCATCGCGCGCCGCCAGGTCTACAGCGAGTGCCACGCCAGCGCCGCATTCAAAGCTGCGACAGGCCTGGACCACGGCAAAAAGCCGCCAACGCTGGGCCTCTCGCGCGCTGCCGAGCTCCTGCTCGCGCCGCGGCCGCAGGACGTTGCGGCAGAGCTTGCTCGCAGCGTCGTCCGCAGCGCTGGCGCCAGCACCGCCCACAATGTCGACGATGACGAGCTCCCGGGGCAGCACCCATGGGGCCTGGCGTGGCTGCTGCTCCGCGCCACGGCAAGCAGCAGCGACAGCTGCGTCCGAGCTTACTCTGTCTCTGCCGTGTCCAGGTTGCTCAGCCAGCGAGCGCAGAGTGCTCTGCAGTGCAGGGGTAGCGGCGGTGACGTGGGCGGGGGCACATGTGCTGCGACCGCGCATGAATTGGAGCTGGAGGCGGCGCAAGCGGCAATCGAGCAGCTGCTGGCCGCTGCAGCGCGCGGCCGCGCAGCTGCACTGGCGCACGCCAAGGATGCGGATGTATGGCCGCGGGCGGCTGGGGAGGCTGCGGTCGTGATGGAGTTGGCGGGGCAGATCGAATGTCTGTCCGCACGCATCGTTTCAGAGCTCGTGGCGCACCCAGGGCTGGCTGAGAGACTGGCCAGCAGGAGCAGCCAGGTGTGGCCAGTGATGGATGATGGGGCAGCAAATGACGAGGCAGGGCCACGGCCACTATCGGCAGGTGTGGGCCGGGGAGATCCAGTGGAAGAGGGCTTGTTGAGGAACATCCAGCTGCTGCAGCAAAAGGTGCGTGTGGGAGTTTTGGGTGGCGCGTACCGCGCACGTGGGTGGAATGTGCTTGAGTGAAGAGGTCTCTCACCCGCGAGCGGCATGCGGCATGTGGTCTGCAGGCCGGCGGGGGCAAGGATAAGCTCCAGCGGCACGTTGGCCGTCTATTACAGGCGCATCAGCATCATGCATGCATGCTGAGGCATGCACGTGTGACCCTGCATTATGTGAGTTCTTCCAGAGATGTGCATGTCACCACTCAATTTTGCTGAAATCCTGAAAGGATCGCTTATGTTTCGTGCCCCTCCGCCTCACCCCAACCGGCACTGGCGGCGCCTGCCCCTGCCTTCAAAGGCTCTCGGGCTGGCGACCATGCGCAAGGCCTCTGCTGCCACAGCTGCCGGCACATTTGCTCCCTCCAGCGCAACCGCTGACCGCATGGCAGGCAGTGCCAGCCTTGCGGCCCGAGCCAACGGGGTAGCGGCGCTGGCCGACCACGTGCTTGGCTGCAGCCCAGGTGCCGTCGCCCCCGGACCCTCCAGGCCGCGGCTGGCACACAATGATACGCTGGAGCAGGGCACCTTGGCCGCCCCTGCGGGCGTGGCGCTCGGCGAATTCCGCGGCCGCCTCATGCGGCTGCGCGTCCCACCAAACGCCTGCGGCAGCAGCATACCCGTTCGCGTGCCTTTTGCTGGCCTACCGGAGCGCATTTGGTGGTGGGAAACCCGGGAGCGTCAGGCTCGGCAGCTGCAGAGCGACCTGGCCGAGCTCAAGGCACACGCGGTGACGCTGCGGCTGCGAGACAGCGGCGGCGGGAGCGCGGAGCAGCTTGCGGCGCACGTCGAGTTGTGGGCAGAGGTGCAGGCTTACGGGCTGCGCGACCTGCTGCTCGTGATGGCGCGCGACCCTGCATCGCCCTTGTGGCGGACGCACCGTATGGTCCTGGACGAGCAGGCGGCGCACCAGCTCCTCGCACTGCAGCGCGACTTGAGGGCGCGCGCCAACGACACTCGCGAGACCGGAGGGGGCGTGTCGATGGTTCGTGGTCTGGGGGGCGAGGCGGGACTCGCGCCCGTGTTTGGCCCTGGCGGCTTCCTGTCTGACATCGTGGGTGCCCTCCGGAAGCGGGAGCGCTGCCTCCAGGACTTCGCCGGATGCAGCTGGAGCGCGACGCTGCGCGAGGCGGTCGCCCCTCGTCTGCGACCCGCACTCACGGAGTCGCTGGCGGTACCTTGCCATTCGCCACCGGAGGGGGGCAGCGGCGGCACGGCCTCAGCAGGGCTATGGTCGGGCGTTGTGGGCTGCGCGCCAGGATGCCCCTGGTGTGCGGCTGAGGCAGAGGAGCCTGGCCCCGGCGAGCAGCAGCAGCAGCAGCAGCAGCACGGTTCAGCATTTGGCGATGCAGCGCCAGTCCCCTTCGAATCCCCCTTCCTGTGGCGGCGCCTTGTGTGGGCGCTGCTGGGGCGAGTCGCGCCTCGCGTACGCGATCGGCTGAGGTCAGACGCCGGCATGTGCCCCCACAGCTGCAGCTTGCTCCTGTGGCAGGCGGCTGGGCTGGTGATCAATCATTACATGGACTGGGGGTGCACGCGCTTGGTCGCTGTGGCTGGCATTGACAGGTACAGCCCCCGGCCGCTGCACGCCAAGGAGGCGGAGCGCGCCTATGCGCGCGGCCTCGACGAGGCATTTGAGAAGGTGCTTGTGACCCGTGCACACGGTGGCGGCGTGTTGTTGACGCGGACTATGAATGCAGCCGCGTTCGCGCTGCAAACTACCGCCTCGCCTGCTTGCTGTTTGCCATGAGGAGCCTGTTGGCCAATTTGTTGCTTGCCCCCTGACTCTTCCCTGCCCGGCGGCCGCGACCGCCCTTTTGAAGTGAAACGAAGTCCCCCTCCAACACAACCCGTCACCGCCCCACCCTGCCCTTGTGTACTCCCTGCTCTGCAGGCCCACTCCCCTGCCCAAGTGGTCCTGGCCTGCCGCGTGCTTGAGGCGCTGGGCCCGCACGAGTCATCCACTGCGCCCGACCCCCAGGCCGTGTCCCTGTGGCCGGCCATGGCCGCACCGGCCACAGCCGTGGCACTCATGCACGCCAGCGCGGGGCCCGAGGCGTGGCCGCTCTCTGGTCGGGAGGGCGGCCGGCCGCCGTGGCCGGAGGATGATGGGGAGGGGCACCTGCCCATGTGGCCGGTTTGGTACCACATGCGCGTGCTGGGCATGTGGGACAAAGCAGGAAGCTTCAGCAGCAGTGCGGAGGACGGCAATGCGGAGGCTGTCGCAGCGCTGCGCAGGGCAGAGGCCGGCAATGAGCTGGCAGAGCGTCTGCGGGGCGCAGGCGCAGACAAGGTGGCGCGGCGGGCGGCGGCGGCGGCGGCGGCGCGGCGAGTCTATGACGACCCTGACGTCAGGTCGGTAAGGGAAATCTCGGAGTTGCGTGGTTGTGAGGGCACTGTATGTCGCCTAGAAACTATCCTGCCAACCAAACTCTGCAGCTGGAAACGGTCCCCTCACAGGCGAAGGCAGCTGCCCGCATCACTAGCTGGCTCCCCCCCAATCACCCTCCCCTGTTACCCTTAGGCTGGACGCCGCCGTGTTTGCAACGCGCCAGGCGTTCAGCTCGTCGGACTTTGACCGGCTGCAGCGTCAGGGCTTCCTCTCGCAGCTTCTGAATCGCCCAAACCGTCACACGCCTCAGCAGGACGCCTGCGGCTGCGACCGCTGCGGCCGGACCGCCGCGGCGTACCTCGTTTGCCCGCGTGGCTGCGGCGTCCGCTACTGCGGCGAGCGGTGCCGCGCGGAGTCGGCCACGCTGGAGGCCGAATGTGGTGGCGGCGGCGGCCCTCTGCCAGGCCTGTCCAGCCATGGCCCTCTGTGCGGCTACCTGGCGCGCAGCCTGGCAGACGCGCGCCCCCGCTTCGCTGCGCAGAGGTGGCGCCTGGAGGTCGAGGGCGATGCAGTGCCGGCGGGGCGGCCGGGCGCGCGCCGCGCCTGGTGGCAGAAGCTGCGGCACGTGGGCCAGGTGTAGAAACAGCGCTCGCGGGATGCCGTGGGCGTGCAGGGGCCCCCGCTTGCACAACGGGGCCGGATTGTTTGCAACTTTTGGGAGTGGCTCCGAAAGAAGGTGATTATGTGAGTGGGCACACGATTTTGGAATGTGAGTGATGACAGGTATCAAGAAGGTCTTGGTTCAAGTCATTGCTCAGGGGCACCCGCGAGCATGCAGGCACCGCGTTTGGGGACCGGTATTCATTCGTGGGCTCTGTGTGCCACCCACGCTGGGCAGGACGCATGACGTTTGCTGCTACTGACGACTGAAGCAACCACAGAGATTCATTCTGCTTTGTAAGAGACATTTGCTTTAATTGAAGGTTTGCCTATCTAGCAGCATCAGCAGGGACGAGCAACGAAACCGTCGTGTTGACGTTGACACACCCAGGCTCACAGGCGGCGGTCACGCAACGCATCTGACGTGCACATCACGCCGAGACTGACCGTTCGACCTTGCAACTTTCATTCTGTAATCCATAAACAATCTTCAAACACGTACCGCCGTGAACTAGTAAACAGCAGTCGATCTGGGAGACTCGGGACAGCGGCTATGCGGGTGCTGGCAGCGGTGGTGGGGCTATGCCTCTTATCAGCAGCAGCAAATGCTCTGGATTTTGAAATGGGCGTGCAGACTAAGTGCGTCTATGAGGAGATCAACGCGAACGTGATCGTGGTGGGGGACTACAAGGCCTACAACAAGGATAACCCCTCTGTTGCCGTGGCTGTGGACGTTCTGGTAAGGCAATGCCATTGCCGGCGGTAACGATCGCTCGTACAGGGCAGCGGTGCATTTTGCGTGCTGCGAGCTGCTGAACGCTGCACTGCTGCTGGCCCGATGCCCCTCTCAGGTCACGGACCAGATGCATGCGGTAATCCACACAGCCAAGGCACAGGTCAAGGGGCAGTTCGCGTTCACCAGCAAGTCGGCAGGGGAGTACAAGGCCTGCTTTACGGCGCCAGGTGCGGGGCCCCAAATGGCGCAGAGCAGGGACAGCAAGGCCCCATGCCGCTGCTGCCAGCGTGCCATGCTTGTATGGAGATGCACCGTATGGCGCATACGCTGCAGAAACATAGATTTGGGGAATGCAGACTCCAGAGGAACATCCGCGACTGTAGTAATGGAGTGCAAAGTCAGAGTCAGGACCCTGCAGCGTGTCAGTGGCAGCAGATTCGCTGCGAGCCAGCCATGCCAGCAGCTACGGCTGAACAGGACTACCAAGCGCTCTGTGAGCATCAGCCCTCGCCGCAACGACGATGCAGCTGCACTTCGGCGCTTCCGCTGCTGAACACGTGCACCTCTCTCTCGCGTCGCTGCGCCTTCCCGTTGTCGCAGACCACGCCACCGCACAGACCACAAAAATAAACCTGGACTGGCGCACGGGTGTGGCCGCCACGGACTGGGACACCATAGCCAAGAAGGAGCACCTGGACCAGCTGAGCGTGGAGATGAGGAAGGTCAGGGGGCGTGGGCCGTGATCACAGGGGCGGGGCGGGGAGTGGGGGCCAGGGCAGGCGTGCAGGGGTGTGGTCTGGGCAGCCCCGGCGTGCATGGTGCGGCGCGGTAACCTTGAGATGAGGGCAAGCATCAGTCACAAGGGGAACAGGGGGATGATGGGCGCGTGTGCATGGACTGCGCCAGGGTGCTGCAGATGCCAGGTGAGAGGGACCGGTGCGAGTCAGCACGGGGCTGCTGGCCCCCACTTGCAGGTGCTTGCCCACCCCCATCGCACCGCGCACTCCACCCCCCCTACACGTGCACATATCGCTCATGTCCGCCCCAGGTTGAGGGCGCCATACGCGAGATCTATGCGGAGATGCTGCAGCTGCAGCAGCGCGAGCAGGAGATGCGCGACATCAACGGTGGGGGGTGGGGGGCGGAGGGTGAGGGCGGGAATCAGGCCAAGGGGCGCTGCGGCAGCACCAGCCGGACTGAGTTGCAAGTTGGGCAGCCGGGGTTGAGGGGTTCTGGTCTCAACATGTATTTGTGACAGACAATGGAAAGGCAGCGCGCACCTGACGATGTGACTGCGCTCATTTTTGGACCCTGGGCGCCTCCTGCCGGCCCCGGCCCAGCGGCACGCGGCCGGGCTCAGCATACAGCCGATCATCAAAGGCCTCTCGCCGCGTCCGACGCAGCCCCATCACTCGACCGCTGCATCTGCCCCCCGCCTGCCCTCAGAGGAGACCAACACGCGTGTCGCGTGGTTCAGCATCTTCAGCCTGTTTGTGTGCATCGCCTGCAGCGTGGTCCAGCTGTGGTACCTCAAGAAGTTCTTCCAACGTGAGGGGGGGGTCAAGCGATATATTATACATCCCTCGCGTTGTGGGCTCGCTCTCATGCGCGCGCGCATATGTGTGTGTGTGCATGCGTGTGTGTGTTGCAAATCATGTGTTGTCGTGGCGGGGTGGTCGCGGTGGTGTTGCAAACAGGGGATGCACGCACGCAGCCACAGCCTGCTGCCCCTTGCAGCCAAGGAGGTGCTGCTTGCAGTGGTTGCAAGGTAGAGCAGGGCCTTACTGGGTTGACCAAGGCTTTCCTGGCACTCGGTGTGCTCGCCCCTCACACCCCCGTTGTGCGGGCCGCCGCGCTGCAGGCAAGAAGTTGTTGTGATCCCATCCATAGTAAGAGTGGGACCACGCAGCAGCAGCACGAGCCGCAGCAGCAGGAGCAGCAGCAGCAGGAGCAGCAGCAGCAGGAGCAGCGACAGCTGCACGAGCAGCGGCGGCATCAGCAGCGGCGTCAGCCCCGGCCTTATGCCCGGCGGCGGACTTTGGTGGTGCAGCACAGCGCGGCCCCGCCATCAGCCGTGGGGGCTTGCTGCAGCCGGCCGTCCCCAGCCGTCCCTCACTGTCAGCGGCCCCAGCGGGCCGCGTGCAGGGCGGGCGCCCCTGTCGGCCGGCGGCTGCTCGCGCCAGGGCTGCTCTGCTGTGCTATTCCTCACAATTATATGTCTAGTCTATTTTCCTCAGCCTAGTGTAAAGCAGAACTCAAGCAATCTGGCGTCGTCCCCCAGTCTTCAACACAAGAGCGCGAAGCTTGTTTGCGTTGCCCAGACGCCTGCAGTGCTGGAGCTCCCTGCTGCGCCCTCGTTCTGCGTGGCAATTGCTGGACTGCCAGCCGCCCCGCATGTCTATTTGATCGACACCCGGCAAGTAGGGGCGCCCAGCCTTACCCGCCACCGGACACGGCTCGCGTCAGCCTGGCGGGCGCTTCAAATGGCGTTACAGACACAGCGCTGGCACGTGCCTGCAGGGCCAAGAGCTGCTGCTCCGTCGTGTCAGAATGGATCTCAACGCAGATGCATGGGTTGAAGGGTTGGTTGCGAGGTGCACTAGGCGGCGCACAGGGCAGCAGCAATGAGGTTGGGTTGTGGCCCGCTCGGTGGGGGGTCAGACCTCTCCTGCAGTTCGGGCGGTCAAAAATCAACGGTTTGGGCACAAGAAAAGACTGGTGACAGGAAGCTATGAACGCCCCACAGTGCAACTGTTGCCAGTGTGCGAGTGTGCAAGAGCACGCCCTGAGGTGCCTCAACAGGCCCGCTGCAGAGCACAACACGACAAGCCGTATGCAGCGGCCGCGTGCAGCCCCCCGTCACAGAGCGCCGCTGCCCGGCCCGGCCGCCGCCGCCGCCACGGGTGCGTGCCGCGCGCCCGCGTCCCACTGCAGCGTGAGCGAGTTGCCCATGACGGCCAGGCTGCTGAGCCCCATGAGCGCGCCCGCCACGCTCGGCGTCAGCGCCACCCCCGCGCCCGGCAGCAGCGCGCCGGCCGCCAGGGGTATGCCCACGAGGTTATAGGCAAAGGCCCATCCGAGGTTCTGCTTGATCTTGGTCATCGTGCGGCGCGCCAGGTGCACAGCATCAGCCACCTGTGCGCGTGATAGCGGCCCATTAATGCGTCGTCAAAGTGTTGGGGGCATGGGTGGCGGTCGGGAGCAAGGAGGGAGCAAGGCACTCTCCTGACGTCATCCGCCGCAGCAAAGAACGAGGCCCCGCCTGAGCTGCAATCCAAGGGTCCCCGGTCAGAGCGCCGACAGGGGCCTGCGATGGCGACCCGAGCGCCCGCCCGCGTCGGCACAACCGAGCGCCCGCCGCCCTGCGCAACCAGCCCGGCCCCCAGGCGCCGCCTGGTGGTGCGGAACACCCTGAACCACACCTGGTGCAGCTGGTCCCCCATCAGCACGATGGACGCCACGTCGCTCGCCGCGTCCACGCCGCCCGCCATGGCCACCCCGACGTCCGCGGCTGCCAGCGCGGCCGTGTCGTTGACGCCGTCCCCCACCATGGCCACGCGGCGCCCCGACGCCCGCAGGCTCTCCACCAGCGCCGCCTTGCCGGCCGGCTTCACGCCCGCGTGCACGTCGGACTCCGGTATGCCCACCGCGGCCGCCACCGCCAGGGCCGCCTCCCGGCGGTCCCCCGAGAGCATGAGGGTGCGCAGGCCCTGGGCGCGCAGCTGCGCCACGGTGCTCGCGGCGTCCGGGCGTACCTGCGGGGGCGCGGTGGGCGCGGTGGGTTGGGGAATGGTTGGCTGGGTGCGTGGTCGCGTGTTGTGTGCGCAAAGGCTTGGTGAGGGGTGCAGAGGCAGGGAGTTGGAGTCCTGTCTAAGCAGGGGCCGGGGGGCTGGGCAGCGATCTGGCGGTCACATGGTGGTGGCCGCTATACGGCTCAGCCCGTCGCTCAACCCGCCAGCTGAGTCAGGCATCTGTGTCGGAATGCATCACACAACACACACACACACACATACACACACACACGCACACATGCATGTGCACACGCACGCACATGCGCGCGCTGCACCCCCTCACCTGGTCAGCAACCTCCACCAGGCCCACCACGGCGCCATCCACCCCCACATACACCTGCGTGTGCCCCGCCAGCACGCAGCCCTGCCCGTCCACCACGCTCCGCTGCCGCTGCCCCTGCTGCCACTGCTCCTCCAGCTCCGCTCGCTGCTGCCCCTGCCCCTGACCCTCGCCAGCGGGGCCGCCGCCCGCGAGCACCGCGCCCTGCCTCTCGACCCACTCCAAGGTGCCGACCGCCACGCGGCGGCCGCCCACCACCGCGACCGCCCCGCTGCCCGGCTCCTGCAGGAAGGAGCCCGCCTCCACATGCAGACGGGACGCACCGCCCCGGCCGTCACAGCTGCTGCTGCTGTCACCGCCGCCACTGGCGCTGAAGCGGCTGCTGCTCCCGCCGCCGTGCTGCTGCTCGCCGTTTGACTGCTCGCAGTCGTCTCGGCCCCACAATCGGCGACGCTTGCCGCACACCCGCTGCTGCTGCTGCTGCTGCTGCTGCTGCTGCTGCTGCTGCTGCTGTCCGCTCAACACGCCTGCGGCATCGCCCACGTCCGCCGCTGTCAACGCGTCCCCAGCACTACCCGCCGCCGCGGCCGCGACGAGCGCCTTGGCCACTGGGTGTGTGGCCTGGCGCTCGACGGCGGCCGCCAGCAGCAGCATCTCGCCGCCGCTGAACCCCGGGGCCAGCAGGGTGACGCCCGCCACCTGCGGCTGCCCGCGCGTCAGCGTGCCGGTCTTGTCGAACACGACGGTGTCCACCTGGACATGACATGCGTTGGCGGGGCGGGGCGGTTGGCGCTGGGTGGGGCTGTGCAGAGAGACGACGCTGTGCCGGCGTTGCCGACGCATCGCCGGCCATCAGTACAGCCGGGTTGCAGTAAAGCAACCCCGACCTCCCTCGGCCCCCCTTCGCCCCAAAGCCCCCCCCTGCGCAAGCA